GTCTTCCTTCTTTTTTTTTTTACGAGGAATTTAATATTGAACTGCGTGTCTTCGTTTTCCTCTATTGAACGCTCACTCAACGAAGCAAATACAAACACAGCAAAAAATATGGGGGGTAGACGCAGCTGGGGGAATAAAAAAAAAATAGAGGAATGTTTCTTTTGTTGTTTTTTCGGAGTGAGTTTGGATTGTTTTGGACGTGGTTGTTCCGTGCAGAACGGAGCTCTCTTGCATTGTACTTTTACAGCGTGATGTAATATTAACCATTTATTATTGGTTCGCCTTTTCTTTCCTCTTTAGATTACATGATAGATGAATTCAGCAGATGTTTAAGTGGTCTGTTATGTTCTGCAAAACTACGCACTACTCTCACTGATAATGTAATATGTCGTCCATAAACTTCCGACTTTCAGTACTGTAGCAAGTAATGTCGTGTAACTTTAAGTACACACGCACACACACACACATACACACACGCATACATACATATATATATATATATATGTTTTTTTAAAGGTATGTTTTTATTACTTGTTTTGGAGAATACACTCATACTTTTATTGAGATCGGGCATCACTCATTGGTAGTAAAGCAACGCATAGCACCTACCTGACGTAAGAATCACTATATTTTCCGTTTTGCCCCAGATTAACAGCTTTCAGCAATTGACCAGAAAGTTATACTACAAAAGTTGCTTACATGTAGACAAGCAATAGATATACCACGAGCTTTTCTTGTTTTTTTTTTTTCAATTTCAATCTTTTTCCCCCTACAGAACCCAGCGTTATTTCAATTTTTTTTATTGATACGTAAACACCACATTTAGAATTTTGTGTTTACATGCATGTACTCATTAGTACAGTGACAACAGCCGTTTTTGTCCGAATCACCTTCTCGATTGGGCGAAGCAATAACAAAGAATCTAATTAATTCCGTACTCCTTTATATCAAACATCTTATGTTTGACGTTTTTGCAAGAGTACCCAAAGCGCGCACCTTCACAAGAAAAAAAAAAACAGCAGAAAAACAGACTTTTAAATACTGATATTGCAAACTAGTGCTACCCACTAAGCTATGTTTAGGGTACGGGCAGCCCCTTCCTCGATACTGCAGTCGGCGCCGCCACGTTACTGATTAGTGCAGAGCTGTCTCAATCGGCGATCATTACGATTGAATAATCCGGCTTCCTGAGCTCTTGACACGCTGTAAAAAAGCTTTTGGAGGACGGTCAGCTGGAAATCTTGTGATTTCCAGATAAAATGTTAAATAACTGGCAACAAACAATGGATCCTTTTCAATATCACATCGAGCAACTTTGCCGGCCGCTATGCGGAGTTCGTCTGCTTCATTTGCAGGGGTTTTGGGGTCGTCAGAACGCCGAACTCTGATTGGTTCCAAGAGAAGGAGGGTGGGTAGACCTCAAGGCAGCTTGCTTTGAGGTCTACCCACTATCCTTTCAATCAGAGCCAATCAGAACTCGGAGTCTTTCTGACGTCACATCAACTCCTGCAAAATAAGCAGACGAACTTGCACCCCGCATTTCTTTGCCACGAAGCGTGTGTTTGGACCCGAGTTCTCGCCTAGCACTAACGCCACCTTCAGATTTTTTTTTTTTTTTTGTGCGAATAGAGCCGTGTTTGCGTTTAGCGTTGACGTAATTCTCGTTCCCAAACAATGACGGGCATGCATAATGGGCACTGCAGCTACAAGACTGCGCGCAAATCCGAGAAGGGTCTATTCTTAGCACCAACAGCGCCGAAGTGTCGTTACTTAGAAGCGCGGCTTGTTTTAAGTGACTCTAGTTCGAAACGACAAATTTATTCTATCCATCCGACACCTCCATCTTCTTCCTTCCAACGACACGTATCCGCGGGACAAGTAGGCCGCAAACACCGGGGTGACAGCTGCGGAAGCCAACACACTCGGGAACAATTTGTCGGGTAGGGCCAACCGAAAAACAACAACAACAACAAGACGCTACGCGAAGAACGTCCGCCTTTTTGGGACCGCAGCATCGCTCACACACTTGACGATAATCTGGCCGGCACAGCGCGTCGCCGAGAGTAGGTCTCGGAGGAGCGCCTCAAGGCGTGCATTATTCGGGCGTGCTTTCACCGGATGGCGCGTCCACGTCCGTTAACCTGTCACGGCCGAACGTGTTTGTCCGTAAAGGCTCATTTTGCGGAGTTTCCTAAACCCGGCGTCGAGGTCCCGAAGGGTTTAGTGGTGCGTACCTCGCATCAAGGACTCCTATTGTTTCTTCGTGGAGAGATTGGGCGAAAGAAGCAGCAACGTGTCATCGTACGCGCGCAGTTTCTTTGCTCCCTTAGTGTCTATAGAGAGCAATAAAGGCGCGTGAAAGGCAGGCGTCTACGTGAAACGTTTATTGTCGAATCATCTAGGTCGTGGAATTCGGTCATCGACTGACTATACAAGCCGTCGCGAAGGCCGTGCTGATTTGTATTCATGAACGCAAGAGGTAACTGTCGAAGTAGACACCCGCAATGTTTGTGAACAAAACGTCGGTTTCTACCAAATTGTGATGGCTGCTTTCAAAGGTAAGCGAATATTTGGTTATAATAGTGGCCCTATTTGACACGGGTGATTATATTCAGCTGGTAGAAATGACCTCGAAAAGAATTCTTGTTTAATATTTGTTTTAGCTTTGCATATAGCAAGTTTCAAATGGTGTTACATAAAGGCAGCATCTGGATGTGCCATAAAATACGTCACTTGACCGGATCTGCATTATGGATTCCACAAGCAGTGAAAGTAACGGGTGCTTTTCTAATTTTTAGCGGTAAAGAAACGTAGCAATTCAAACGGTAAAAATGCACCCGTGATACCTAAACATTTTTTTTTAATTGTGTTAATTTGTACTGGGAATTTAGCGCATATTTTGATAAGATATGACTTCTGTTGATAAGAAATGGGCAATAATTGAAGGCAACTGAGAGAAGCCAGTGACTTATGTAAGAATTCCCTTTTTTTTATTATTTTTTTTATTTGGTGATACTGCCAGCATTCTGTAGAACGCCCAGGCAGGAGGTGTACAAAAACCATATTCAAGAACAAGCGGAAGCAGTACAAACAAACAGACAGAGTTACTACTCAACAAAGTGCGAGAGTAGGGCTTCACTAAAAGTATCTATGGATCTCAAATTTACAACACTTTCAGGAAGCTTATTCCACTCACACGTGGTTCTAGGAAAAAAGGATGTTTTAAACAAAGTGGTTCGACACAATGGTTCGACAACTGTTAATTAGTATTTGCTTCGCGTGGGCCTTATTTCGTTAAACGAAGTGTAATCACCGAGGTGCAGTCGCAAATTACCTTGTATCATATTATAAAGAAACTTCAGCCGTTTTTTTTTCTCCGGGTTGCTAAATCACTCAATCCCGATCTTGGATACAAATCTGAAACGGATGACATAAAACCATAACGGTTTGATTTGTTTTCCACTTTGTATAGTTAGAGGCAGCCGATGTTATATAAATACATTATCAACGTGTGCCATGAGAAGACGCCAATGAAATAGCTACATTTTATTTTTAAGTGTTGCATAGTATTTAGCGTCAGTGCATGTGGTCTTTTTCACGATAATAGTGACACAAACTGAAGTTTCGCACAAAAGACAGACGATGTACCTGCAAAAATCATAGTGTATTCATTTGTGAATATTTATACGTTTTGATATGCGAGTCTACAGAAGAAAGAATATATTCGTGGGCCATGCTGCGGTGCTGTGTCATTTGATCTTGTGATTTGTAATATGTATATTTACTGGACGATGTGTGTATCAATAGGCAAAATGATAAAAACAACATATCTAAATTGCACACCCAGACAAGTTTCAAATGCTGAAAGAGGTAATATAGCTTCTTTTTTGCTAACGGTAACTAAGCTTCATTTTTTTTTTTTTAATATTAGGCATTTTATGCAAGTTTGGATTTCGGACATCTGATCCGTCTTCACAACGAGCCCTTTGTATTGAGTGTTACACATTACATTTATTCAATTTTTTTATAATAATTTACAACACAACAGGAAGACGGGTATTAGCATGTCAAAACGGTTCGAGAATTTATGTTCTTGGTCCTTCTACAATAAATTCCTATTTGCATAATCCCGTTCGCCAATACCGAAATCTATATTTTCGTTTTAACACACACACAAAAAAAGTTTTTTTTAACAACGTTTGAGGAATACTTAAATGAATAAATATTATACGAGACGTGAGCCTGAATACAAAGGCATTAACGCATGCTTCGCTGGATCTCTTTATAACATGTCAATCGGATTTGAATATTTTTCCCCCGAGCGCCAGTAGGGATAGCTTCCCCGCATCGAGTTATCCTCTGAGGCAAAGCACGCCTTCCGGGGGCTGAACTCCCAGATAACCTTCCCTTTTCTCCGGATTTAGGTAGAGACTGGCAAAAGGGCTCACTTCGTTGGCTCAATTTTAGAACGGACGTTTTCACCGATGACACTTCGATCAATATCGTTGTTTCGTTGTATTAAGTCTGCAACATAATGTATTCATCAAGCGTTACGAGATGAAACCACTTACCATTGTTCCGACACCAAAGACTTCCATTTTACGAGTGTTGTTTGATGTTTTAGGTTTGAATTCAGTAGTTATTCCTGTGAACATGATAATGCATATCTTTAGGTTGTTTGTCATAATGAAAACAACAGCTTTACGTGAGCTGCAACATATGCACGTCAAGATAAACGTCTTGAGAAACGCATTATCATGATCGTAGAGATACCTCGAAGGCCACGCTTTATTGTGAGCTTCAGTATGTGTACGTACATTAAAGCTCTCATCAAGTCGTGCCGTTTCTGTTATCGCTACAATGATTACAATGCATATTTAAAAACTTTTGTTTCGACTTGCACATTTTGAAGTTAACGTTAGCACTGCTGTTTTCTTTTGCTTGGTTCATTCGATGCACCGGAATAATGTAACTAATGTTCGTTTATTTTTTTTATGCAGGTGATCAAAATGCTGTTCGTCATTGTCGCGCTGTTCGCCTTCTGCTGGCTGCCTTACCAGCTCTACAACTTGCTTCGGGAGGTTTTCCCTCAGATAGATAGGTAAGTGTATTGTCCCGCAAGGTGATCCTCGACATTCTTTTTCAGGCATGCATCGAGAACACTGTTTCAAAGTCAAGGCTCTAACTGTGTTCAACTGCTCGTTGTACAAAAAGAAAAAAAAAAAGCTTGGGTAATCTCCGCGTGGTTTGTGATGAGCAGTTCTACCTGTGCGAATGTATCGTTTTGTCTCAAGACGCTCAAAGGATTCGAGTTTGTAGCAGTGACGTTACGGTGCCTGGAACACTTCTGTGACTAGAATGTTCACCCAGTCTTCGAAAGTGATCACTCGATTTCCTCTCGATGACGTCATAAAAATTGACACGCTACTCCCTGTGGTGATCCTGGCAGCGGCAAAGCAGCAGAAGTGGATTCGGCAGACGCCTGTTCTGCTGTAGGTCGCTCTGCAGTCAGACAATCGACGGGAAAACAAAGAGACAGGCACGCGTTGGGATACCGCAACGACAACGACCCAAGCGACTGTCGGGTGTCGTGATCGCCGGAATTTCTATGAAAACCCGCCAGGATCACGACACCCGACAGCATGACACGCCGGGTCCAGTGACGCAGTTTGTTGCTATTCCGGAACCACGTTTGGTGCGCAAGTGGGGCGGGACAGTGAGCATAGTGGTCGAAGACGCGCGTTCCACATACGTCTTAGCACGCGGAACGCCGGCCTCCGGCTTCTGGGCTTTCGCATACGAACGCGTTAGAAGACGGAACGCCGTCGCTCGACGAGTGCAGTGGAGAAAAAGGCAGATGCCGACTAATCGTTCCAACCAGAGCACGGTGTTCTAACGTCCCTACGTGTTCTCGTCTCCCCCTCTTCCCTGCGTTTCTCAGTGCCTATTCAAAGTGAAGTCCTACTCGGTCACTGTTTGTAAAATTACGTATTTTCTGGTGACATGCTCACACATCTGCGTCCAGAACTTTAGCTACTACAGCACCGATTGCAACCACTGCGGTTGCAACGACCACTGTGTGCCGTACATACACACTCATTCCGCTCGCGATAAGTGCAGCAACTTCGGTATAGCAATAGCCCTTTTGCGAAATCACCCAATCGCCCCGGCCCGCGCGCGAGGAATTGTGGGAGAGATTGTTCCTCGCCTGGCCGCTCTGCCTTGAGATTGCATTGCCTTGTCGCTTGCCTCCTTTTAATCCTCTGTTTTTCGATTTCATTACCTATTTTTATCTATTCCAGTTTATTTTTTATTGCTTTCAAGTGTTTCTATTCTCTTCTGCGCTCGATATTTCTTGTATATTTATAGTATTTGTGTCTTTAATTTGCCTTTTTCGACGGGAGTGCCGACGGACAACACGCCGCTTCGCGCGTCGTTCCCCGGGTGAGTACTACCCACCGTGGTACTACCGTTGCTACCAATTCCTATCGCGCTGGTAGCTCTTCATTTTGGTTCAATTTGACCCACGTGCAGTCGAGAGGAGCCGTTTATGAACACCCACTCACATGTCATAGGAGATAGGCAGATCTCTGGATCAACAATCACGACGCTAGAGCCGAGTGCGCTGTGATTTGACCACCGGCGCTCGCTCCGTTGACTCGCACTGTAGCGTATGCCTTCGAGTGCCGCTTACTTGACCAAGATACAGCACGCCGCTTTGTCGCCGCGCACCATTTGTCCGAATGTTTGCGGAGCTGAGGCATATGCAACGCTGCGGCGCCTGACAACTGCGCGCTGCGGCGCGAGACATTCGCAAGCGCCGGTGGCCCAACGTCGCGGCTTGTATGCGATTATGGTATGCCTTATTAATCTATCTGCTAAGCGGTTGTCTGTTGCAAACACCCTTTTTCAAGTGTTTACAACTGCGCTCCGCTGCGTGCAGTTGTCTGGCGCCGCAGCGTTGGATATGCCAACCGGTGTTACGGTTTCGCGGGCATTCGGACAAATGATTCGAGGCGACAAAGAGGCGCGCTGTATCTTGGTCAAGTAAGCGGCACTCGAAGATATTCGCTATAGTGGGAGTCAACGGAGTGAGCGCGGGCGGCCAAATCACAGCGCACCTCGCGTCGCGACATTTGCTTCAGAGTTCTGCCAACCCCTATGACATGTGCGCGAATGTTCATAAACGGCTCTTCTCGACTGCACGCAGGTCAAATTGAACCAAAATGAACAACTAACAGCGCGATAGAATCGCTACTCACCCGGGGAGCGACGCGCGAAGCGGCGTGTTGTCCGTCAGCACTCCCGTCGAAAAAGGCAAAATAAAGACTCAAAGACTATAAATATACAAGACATATCGCGCGCAGAACAGAATAGAAACACTTAGAAGCAATAAAAATACACTTGAACAGGTAAAAATAGGTAATAGAATAAAAAAAATACAGAGGATTAAGAAGAGGCAAGCGATAAGGCAATGCGATCTCAAGGCAGAGCGGCCAGGTGAAAGACAGTCTCTCCCACAATTCCTCCGCGTGGGCCGGGCCGCTTGGGAAAATAGCAAATCGTCTATTGGTAGAGCCTGTAGCGTGACAGTCGCTTCTTCGCAGCTGCCAGCTGTTTCTGCCGTGCCTTCCAAGAAATGAAACACTGTGTATGTGGGCTCAAGTTTTATTTGCTTATACATTCTTGATATAAAGCTGGCAGAACTTAATGAAAGCAAAAAAAGGGATATGTCGTCCCAGGATGACCTCGATTTGAACTCTTCGCAATCTTTCCAATACTAAATATTTTGACGCATATTTTTTTTACAATGATAGAAGCATATTTTCACATAAATAAAATAGAGAACATGGATTACAGAAGTAGCACTAACCAATGCGGTTCACGCAGGTGATAGAGAGGTGTGTACATTTGTGTATTCTGAGCCCAGCTCTAGAACACCACCCATCCTTATTAGTTTGATAAAAAATAGTTGATGGTTAATAGTAGAACAAAGATTGAGTGTAGAAAATGATAAATATGGCATGTTACAGTATTCAAACACCCAGGAAGCATCATTGTAGGCGAAGTAAACGAACGCTATGGAGCGAGATTTTCTACGCTCTTGAACTCACGGCTACGACGTCGCCGCACTTGTGGACGGGTCTTCTCGTTTTATACGTGCTTGTTTACTCTCGCGACACAGTGCCGCAGCCAATAAGGACATATCCTTCGCAAATACGATCACTTTCACGGCGTCGACCATTCCGAATTTCATCTTCGGCGCCGTTTTGGTCAGCCGGTCGCAGACTCCCAACTAGAAGGAAATGCCTCCGTCTGCGTTCTCGACGCGTGATTGGTCGGTCGCTGGGTCGTTTTAGGAGTAGCTCACATATTTCACCCGATCCGGCTCCCTCGTTACTTACGACAGCGACGTGTGGTGCCACTTTGCCATGGCAACTCGTTGTTGCAACGTGTTACAACGTAACTGCAGCGCGGTCCCTGCCGTTGCTCCTGACGCAAGTGTGTCAACCGGTCATAAAAGTCGTCAATATCACCGCCACTAGATACAAAATGAAATGCCATGTGCCATCTCCTGACTTCAGTTACTTTCGATGTTCAGTCGTTAAGCAGGCTATTTAGTGATACTTTATCTTAAAAATGAGACGTATCGACGTTCTGGGAAGGTTCTAACAATTTTATCTTGCAGTATAAAGAAACATCAGCGCCTCTGCGATTTTGTTGGGTTCGCCGACAGAAAACCAATTGCTGCAATTTACTGAAAAAAATTATACGTTAAAAGAAGAATACTTAATTTTAAGCAATAATACAAGCTTGTTAGAACACCTAGCATGGTGCTTTTCTAGCTTGCTGTTCAACCGAAAGGGGCATCTCTCAGGTTAGACTATTTCTTGGGTTTCTTGAAGCACTCGACTCCTCCCATCATTGATTGCACCGATGGTATATTTCGTCTGTTCAACGGGAGAGTGGGGGCGTTTTAGGTTTTTTCTTGGTATAAATTATTTGGCGTCATAAAAATGGTAAAATCCCACAACAGCCATTTTCATAATTGTATAATGATTTTGTGCTTTTTTTTACGTCTCGCAGGTATAAGTACATCAACATCATCTGGTTCGTCATGCACTGGCTGGCCATGAGTAATTCCTGTTATAATCCCTTCATCTACGCCATCTATAACGTAAGTTCATCACAAACGAGAGAATTATTTTTGTACAACTTGCCGTTCTTAACCTCATTGCAGCACAAAATTAACGAGCCACTTGGGGTCCCTATTCATTACCTGAGACCCACGTTTGGTTCATCTCATGTTCCAGGTTAATTTTAAAATAGAGTTGAGGTTTAATGGCTGAATAAATGTTTAAATAGAAACACACAAAAAAAGAAACATTACATTTGGGCACCTCTTCGTTCAACTGTTGTACAGATATATATGTATTTACTCAAAAAATTTAATCAGTTTAGGGTTTGCTGTTTGCAATCTTACGTATAGGCCAAAGTGATGTGCGGTAGGGTAAAGTGGATGTTCTGCATATTACACAATCAGCTAGACTCTCTCTCGAAAAAAATAAATGAAGGGTTCATCTTCTAGCCCCTCATCGGTAAATAACTCTGGTAACCCCTGCGACCCCGCAGGTTTTTTTTTTTTTATTATTATTATGCTAGTAAAGGTAGCAATCTATTAGCGTATTTCCTCCGAGCCTCCTAATCGATGCATGGGTTTTTTGTCTCTCTATTTTTAAGATGATAAGTATTAAAAAGAGGACTATGAAAATAAATAAATTATTCCTGCAGATTAAGTATAACGTTATCAACTCGGCGGGCCTCAGGGAACGAGTATAAACAAACAATTATTGGCTTAATTCACTAAAGTTCGTCAAGTAAATGTTGCACTGTTCTTATTAGGTGGCGAAGTTTATTCTGGCACTTGGAGCCCATTCTTAATATAGGTTAAATAAGTTTTTTTTTTCTTCTAAAATCTTACATCTCATTGGGCCTACATTAATATCGGTTTGCAAATCTCCAGTCGAAATATGACAGCTAATAAAAAAAAAAAAACTTAAAAAGATTGTTAGCCGAATAATTAATCAACCATATGTTGCTTTATAAACCTGCTCTGATGTCAGCCACGGTCGATTAACATTATTCTGCGGGATGCATTCCTTTATTTCCAGGTACCTTTTTTATATATATATAATTCCGGCTTATAAAAAAAGAAATCACTCTGTATATCCCGTACCGAAAAGGGTAATTTTATTGTAAACGACTTGCACAATAAAAATGACCTCGGCGGTTTATGAAGACCCCCTGAACTGATGCTAACTTAATGCTAAAAAAAGGAAAACTATTTTTGCCTCACCAGGAAATCCATGACCGTTACCCGCGAGAACAAAGGGCACTAAAAACAAACGCCGTATTGATTCGCGGACGGCAATGGACGACAGGGACACGGCTCGTAACCCGATTAACGTCAGGAAAGACAAGTTGGGAAAGGGCCGGACTCCCAAAACGTAAAGCGTGCAAAAAGAAAGAAAAAGAAAAAACTGAAGATAGTAACGTCTTTAGGGGACAGCCATTTGTCGGCGTCGTCACCTCCGAGTGTGTCGTGTAACACCCAGTTCCGTTTCGGGGTGTCTTTTCTTCTGTCCAGATCATACCTCGCAACCCTAGCAGGGTCAGAACAGAGGCAGAGCTTTGAGCCCCGGGCGCGGCTTCTTTCGATACGGGATTTCTAGTCGGGGAACAAGGTATGTCCTCACAAAAAAAAAGCACTTATGGCCGAAGGACAAAAAACTGTAGCACTAGCAATTTTATCTACTATTCTATGGCACAAAACGCGAGGAACCCTGCGTTATGATCCGGAAAGAGCCATTATATATGACGTCACTTCCAAAACATGACGATATACGTTCATTGCAATGCTCGCATCAACGCACTAACGTGATCATTATGTTGTTATGTTTTTTCGCGGTGTCTACAAGGCGCCAACGCATATATTTCTCAAATTCCCCTCGGTCAAAGCCAAGACCGGGAGCTCTTTCTGTTTGATCACTATGCGGTCACTGAAAGAATGAGAACTGTAGTGTGTGTCTTTCGAACGCTTTGCCCTCGGTACGCGTTCGTTGCATTTCGTAAGCGCATTGGCCTCGCGTGCTCGCTCGAGGCCCTCGCGACGGCGAAGCATTGCCGAAGGTAGGAAGCTCGCGCTAGAGGCGGGACAACGAAAACTCCTTTCTGCCGTTCTCATCTTGCCAGTGGCAAATGGCCGTGGGACGCTGGCCCTGTGAAAAAACACCACGTGTTGTGCCTCGGAAAGACATTTCCGGCACGTTATGGTGCGCCCAGGCGAACGCTGATTGGCCGCACAGATGGTTTCATCCAAACGAAAGTGACTGTTTTATATTTAAAGAAAAAACTTTTATTATTCATATTCGACTTTCCAGAAATTTTAAAGAGAGCCAGATAAAAGTTCATTCTTGTTCACCATCTTCAAAAACTGGTTTACAAGGGGCAATTTAATTTTACTACGGTCGCTTGTTCCAAGAGTCAAATATTTTCAACATGCAATGTGAAATGTAACGGGAGTGACGGTGAACAAGGAATACAGACAGTCACTCAGGGAACGCAAAGAATCACGAATGTTTATGCGTTCATTATTATATTTTCTGCGCCAGTCAACCGCATGTGTCATGTATTTCACAGACCGACATGACTCATACCCCTTAGAAGAGCACGTTTTATGTTATACTTTCCAACTAAAAAATATGCGAATATCGCTTTTTAAAAGGATTTAAGCAGCTTGTTTTGGACTCAAGATGTTGTTAAATAAGCACATAATGAACTATTCAACATCACGTTAAATAAGCGTTTAGTTTAGTTTTCTACAATGAGGATACAGTGAACAACATTAAGCCACATGCCGCAGACTTACCGATAAGCAGGACTCATAGCATTTCCGGAGCGCACGGGCAAGTATATCGTCTCCGCAACCAAACACGCACAAGCAGACCCAACCCGAACTTCAATAGAACCTTTAAAAAAATTATCAAGCAACATTGGTGGCCGACATTTTTTTTGGCACAAAACGTGCGATTGTGTCCGAGTCCTCGCCGAGACCTCTGACGCACCGCTGGTATTTGATACGAACTAAACCGAACTCAGGCTGACCACTCACACAGCCCTCCTGTCCAATACATGCTCAGAGTTCATGCCCAAACGATGGCGGTCTCGAATGATTGGCGCACCAGCTACTAGATTGCGCCCACTTTTGAGAAGGGTCTGTTATAAACGGTGACTTCGGCAAGAAATCTTCTTTTTTTGTTTTTATTAGGATATTTTATCTTGCCCAAGCTCAGTTTGAATCAATGGTTGATGTTCTTAAAACCTCGACACGCGCACTCATTTTTCCCTCGCTCCGCATCCGGACTAAACCGTTTCTGCACTAGTGGCGTTGAATAAATAATCGATTTTCCAATCGGTGTATTTTTTGTTTCCCCCACAGGAGCGGTTCAAACGCGAGTTTGCGTTGCGGTGCCATTGCGGTGGCCAGAGGTACAAGCAGACGAGCCGATTCGCGGCCTACGATCAAGACGACAACAACTCCACCATCATCGTGTCCATGCGGCACTCGTTCCGGCTCAGCTTCAAAGGTTCCCACTCGCCCATCAAGGGCAGTACCAAGCTGTGATACCTCGCACCACCGCTGCCAAGCGCCATCTCGCGTGTCGCCCCGTGAGGACTTGTCGGAGCCAAGGAACTGTCGTCGATGCGCTCCCTGTACAGACCGCCCGAGTGTTCAGACGCGGACGCTGTTCCTGGAACATCCTCCGTGCTTCCCTTCCTCTTCCCGGAAGGAGACTCCTTAAAGTGTGGTTCATTATGTGTGTGCGCGCGCGCGTTTGTGAGTGCAGGACACGGGAGGAACGCCACGCCTCTTATCCCTGGGAGATGCCCACCCACGCGAAGCGCCTCCTGAATCATGTCGAGTGTTCAGTGCCCTCGGCATGTCGAGTGTTCAGTGTCCTCAGCACATGGTCCCTGAGAGCTTAATAAACGCGGGGCTCCTTGTGTACCGAGAACCTATACATGACTTGGCAGATAATCAGACTGCAGCACTAGACCATAAGAACGCCGAAGGACCGGTCACGAAGACAGAAGCCTTAATATAATGAGCCACACACCGCGTTTAATAAGCTCTCGGTGATCATAACCTATTATTTTGGGGGGAAGGGTTCAAAGATGCGAACTGTGATCATACATGGAGCTCGACTCACGTCTTGCATGTCTCCGCATAGATAACCTATCGTTGTTTTCTCAAGTCTTTCTCTATAACGCGGGAGCACATACTGCTCTATGAACTCAGCCAAATCTTTCTTTCACGCTATGCCACGTTCTCTACAATGTCATGGGATCATGAAATGAAAAAAAAAAACGAAATAGGTAAATATTGCTTCTTGACCAACGCTATGATGAAGCGTTTATATATCTGCCAGCTCCGCGTCATTTGGCGTTCAAGAAACGTTGCCTCCGAATTCACCGCGTTACGTCTCATCGCTCAGAACGGACGCATGTTTCTTTGCTTGGAAAGGGCCGCCATTTTCAAACAAGCAAGAGGGGCCTTTGATTAAAATTGACGATGTGTGGAGAAATACTCATTGCTCTTATGGAAATTCAAAGGTTCCTCGCTGGCTTTAGAAGTGCAAAGGCATGAGGATGATTACGCTGGATCTAATGAAACGCGATTATGAGCATTCCCTACGAGTATCAAATTATTGTGATTGCTTGTGTGCATACATGTGTGCTCGGCGGCCGTTCGAACAATGGGCATTATACTTAAGGGCTCGAGACTGAACATGTAAGTCAAGTGGAATATGTGCGAGTGCGCTTGTGTGTATGTCTGTGCATGCGAGAGCGTGTTTGGTGCTGTGCAAAAGCGACGTGTTGCCATCCTCGCTAGAGGCTATATGTCCAGTCCCACACCCATCTAGTTTTGGTCTCGATGTTGTTCCGTGACTTTCAGCCCATGATTTTAATAAAAAGGCTTCACCGCAGTTGTGGGAAACCTTCACCTCTACTTCGATTCCGTTCTTTATTTTTCCGATGTTCACTATTACGTAACGCGTTATTCTCCCCAAGAGTTCGGCACAGAAGATGTGATCAGGATGCCTTCTTCATGTCCAACTCAGAGGAACAACACGGTTCCGGGATTTTCTAAACAAGAAAATGCATTTCAGAGTCACTGAGACATTCAGGAACCTAAGGCGTGGTGACTCCCCGAGCATTCCTATTATTGCTGCGCAGCTAATCAGATTGCGGCTTCAGCCTATAAGAAGGCCGAAGGACCAATCAGGAAACAAGAAGCGTGAAAATAGTAGTCCACACCCTGCGCTTCTTATTAAGTTGTCAGTGACTATGCGGAGCGCAAGTTCGTCTGCTTCTTGCGCAGGGGTTGCGGTGACGTCAGAACAACGCCGAGCTCTGATTGGCTCCTATCGGAAGGATAGTGGGTAGACCTTAAGGCGGCTTGCCATTGAGGTCTACTTACTATCCTTCCAATCGGACCCAACGAGAGCTTGGCGGTCTGACTTCAATGCAACCCCTGCGCAAGAAACAGACGAACTTGCGCTCCGTATAGTAACACTGAAGAGTGAGCCTGCGGCTGTCCATTGGGGGCTCCTGTAATTTGGGGGATTCCCGGCCAGTTGTTAGTGTGAGCTTTTTTGTTCCTATATCAAAGCCCTCTTGCTGCTTTAGGTGTAAGGCGGCGATGTAACAATAGCAGTGCTCACTTACTCAACTCGCAGCCAGAACAAGAGGCCACATGACCTAGGGCTGACTATATATGCCGCGTATGTTCATCGTAGGAACGCGCTGGATTTGGTAAAGCACATGGCAAGCGCCGAGTTGCACATATTGCCCCGACTGGTGCCCCAGAGCGAAACACGTGCAGATTGCACGTGAACATAGCTTTGGCAAGCTTAAAATTGCACGGGCTTGTGCGCACGAGCAAATACATGGTGGCGGCCAGTGTTGCTTGCAATCGTCTATAGATCTATTTATAACTTACCCAAGCATCGACGAGAATGCTCAAAATGCAGGCTTCCGCCGCCGCCTTCGCTCCCCGTATAAAAGATTCGAAGTAAATCATTAAAATATGGCGCCGACGAACGCGCGTGCAAGAAGCCATTTGTTTTAGGCTTTTGCCTTAGAACAGCTACTGCTGCAAACGCCAGCAAGGGCACCGGGTGTAACTACACTCGTACCACGTTCCTTGGTACTTGGGTAATTTAGCGAAAGGTCTATTCCCGCCATCGGATTGATTGGGCACGAGCCACTACCGCAACGCATGAGGAATCGTTGATTGACACCAGTCTAAATCTAATGCTCGCGCAGTGCACATGTCCAATGTGCACTGCGCGAACCGTATTTAAATCATCATGACCGCGGCAACCGCACGTCCGCTTTTGTCCTAGAAATTACGCGGCGACAAAGAAGCTTCTTGGTAGGTGGCGCAGGCCTGCAAGTGGTCATTCCATTCTTCTTCCCCTATTATGTCTCACCATGGATGGGCAAAATATATGCAAATATGTATCGAAATACAAATACAAAATACTTTGTCAAAAATGTATTTAATTACAAATCTCATTACATTTCCAAAAAAGCATTTAAATACAAGATACAAATACAACCAAATGTATTTGGTCTCCTCCAAATCCTTTCGAAATACATTCCTCAAAATTTGCGTCAGCGACCTCAGGGCACCTGCAGCGGGTTTCTGGGTATCTCATTCTAATTTCGCATCGCACACTCGGAAGTTAGTGTGCGAGGCTCTCGTAACGTAATAGAAACAAAATCACAAAAAATGTAATCAGCTTGAACGTAATAGGTGAAAAAGTACAGAGCTTTAAGCAGCTTTTTTTGTCGATTACATTCTGGTATAGACCAACAAGGAACCGAGACGACCAAGACATGCAGCACTAGCTAGATAATTTTTATTGTTGCAACTCGCACCAGTTACGAAAATCTGGACGACCCGCGCATTTAGAATGTCCCAGGCAAAAATATCGATGGAAGTCAGGCTGGAGAGCATCGCAAGTTGTCACAGGCACTTACTTAGCCAGTCTGCCTGTGAACGTAGATTTCGTCACTATTCTTGCCCTGGACTAGCACCGTAACCACAAAGTCACTGAACGCTTGTGCTTGATTGAGAGAAACTGCATTCGGTGCAGAACTTAGTTTTCTTCCTGCTCTGGACAGTGCCTTTAAAATAAAGCCGGAGGAGAAAAAGAAAAAAAAAGCCCCATGGCCGAATAAAGGATGGAGACTGTATCTTTCAACCACATGCATAAAAACAAGAATCATCGTGACACTAAATTTGAGGGGTGTATTTTCCCCCACAAAATTGTATTTAATTACAACTGTATGTGAAATACCCACGTTTTAGTATTTAAATACACAGGTCAAATATATCACCCAGTTTGTAATTAAATACAAATGCAAAATACACAAAGTATTTGAAATACGTATTTCAAATACTTGTATTTGAAATACTGCTCATCCCTGTCTCACCAATATACCGATCTCACAAGCCAGTTTTGTTGCACCACCGCAGCCGTCATGCGTCCAGGGAACTCGAGCCCCTAAATAAGCTACGGTTCGGATAACGTTAATAAAACCACCCAGTTGGGAAACTTCCATATTCCTGCGCTGAAAAAGTGGCACCGATCCGTACTCGAGAACAGAGCTATTGTCAATCGCAACGCCGCCATTGCTCCCGCAGCAGCCACTCGGGGAACTGCACGGATGCTTGTATTGATTCGGGAGTATTGCATTCGATAGTGTCTGCTGTGACTCTTTTATTTTGGCTTTAATCGGCCATTTTGGTGCCGAAACATATACGGTGGAAAAGGTTTCAGGGTTGAAGAAACATGTATTGACACTACAAACTATAAGACGTAAATCACACCGCGAAACGGGTATACAATAGGAACATGTTGGCTATAGGATCTAGGGGCGGAAGTAACGAACAAACATAACTTAGCGAACCAAACATGGCCGCTCTTTACATCTCGTCAGCACACACAAGGAGGGTTCTCTTCTTTACCTAATAAATGCCAGTGTCAGCCAGGTCTAGCGTTCGCCTGGCTAACGTCCAATCCCCCCCCCCCCCACATCCCCCCCCCCTTCCCTCGCCTCTCACACCTGTGCGAGAGGCGCGAAAAGCAAGTGAATGTGACCACCGACCAGCCGGACGTAGCTACAAGACCACCGCCTGAGGAACTCTTCCCCCCCAACCAATAGGGCTCGGAGTCTATGTGGCGGAGCAGGGTACCCCGCAGTCGAGAGAGCACGGGCCACACTGCACGAGATCTTCGTTGCTGGCCAACCGCCGCACAACGATTCTGCCAAAGAACCAGCTGGCCGACTGCCAACAAGAGCTAGGCGCAGCCCCGCGGAGGGCACCTGCCGCCCGACAAAAAATTCCAGATGCCGATACCCCGGAAGTCATGGTGCACCAGGCGCCAAAATGAGCGCGCAACGGGACAACCAAAGAAAACTTGTGTGTCTGTCTCTACCTGTCCACAGTTGGGGCACTTAGGGTCGGGAACAATGCCCCAGCGGTGAAGTCGTTGTCTTGTTGGAAGGACACCCCAGCCCCGACGCCACTCAAAATCCTCCACAGGTCCCGGAAGGCGACGAGAAACGAACGAGGTCCACGGAAAGGCGTTCGCCCGATCCCTCTGCTCAAGAGTGATCTCGGCCACGCAGAGCTCCTCGACGGCACGAGCTGGTGGCACTTCGCGCACTTCGAGGTCTCGTAACACCTGCCTGAACTCCTCGTGGCAAGCCACCTCCGCTTGATAAAACGGCGGCGTTGCTTCTGCGCTCGGGTAAAGGTTGCCCAACGCGCAAGTAACAAGCACTCGGCGCGAGGGCCCTAGAAAAGAAGAGCCAGGGGCCGCGACGAGCGGTCAGTGTCATCTAACACCCCTAGAACAGTGCGGAGAGCAGGCGGCACACCGTGTCGACGCAGTGACGTGGGAAGGCGGAGCACCGACCTTGTCACTAGCGCGGTGCCCCTGCTCCAGTAAAACTGGAAGGGACCTGAGGTGATGCGCCTAGTTGATCAAGGAGAGGAAAAGCGTAAAGGTCCCTGCAGCAGCAACTTGACGTTCAACCGCGGATACCACAATCTCCCACGTGCGGGGTGCCACTCCACGAGAGTCAAAAACACGCCAAGAACTCGTAGCTCGCTCACGGCCTGGATATCCGCAGGTAGAGCGGAAGGGGAACCTCCAAACACCAAAGCCTGGCTCTTGGTAGTGTTTAAACAAGCTCCAGAAAGAGCGCCGTACTCCAAGAACAGCTGTCCAGCAGCCTCAAAACTGTCAGAGTTGCGGACAAACAAACTGACGTCATCTGCGTAGGCGCTAACCACGACTTGTCTCGGTCGGGCAGCGGAAAGCCACAAATCCGGGAGCAGGATGCAAAACGTCGGAGAAGCGGATCAAGGCTAAGAACGTAGAGGAAGGGAGGCAACGGGCAGTCCTGTCGTACTCCCTTACTTACTGGAAAAGGCAGAAGTAGACACCCGTTGACTTGCAAATGGCCAGTCAGTCCGCGGCATAGGGACTGAAGTAATGAAATGAAAGTCTCGGGGAAGCGAAAGGCTCTCAGGACCTCGAACAGATAACTATGCTCAACCCTATCAAACGCCTTCGCTTGATCGAGGGAGGCACAAGCCCCCGACAGGTGGGTCAAATTCGCGTAGGAAAAGAGATCTCGTGTGAGTGACAGGGACAAAAAAAAATTTCCTCCCAGGCACCGAACACGTTGGAAACTGAGCTCACCACATGGGGCAAGGCCGTACGGGGGCGCGAGACGAGTAGAGACGCTACCATCTTGTAGTATCCGTTTAACAAAGTGATAAGTCGCCAATGGAGAGCCACTCTCCTTTGTGAAGAGAATGACGTGACCCCGTGTGAAAGATGACGGAACTTCGCCTGTCTCCAGAATGCCTTTCCCAAGCTGGACTAG